TGTTGAACTTTATGCGGTTCTCACGGGCCCACCTTTCCAGCCTTAAGATCGTTATTTCCTCTGCTGTTTGCTACCAGAGCTCAACTTCACAAATGGATTCACCAACATTTTAAACTGATACACAACCCCGCAAAACCAGTGTTGAAACACAGCTCCTACTTTGTTTGCTGACTTTTGGGAGTGGTGGGAGTGGGCAGCAGGTCGGTCTTGCTTCATCAAGCTTCCTGACACTTGTCTGGAACTCCCCAATACTGGCTCAAGTTTTAAAACCAGTATTTTGCATCATATCAGAATTTTTTTTGCACTGCTGCTTATTTACATGCACTTTCTCAGGTGGCTTTCAGTACTGATACTGTCATCTACAGCAAAAGGAAAGCTGTCAAGTGGTTTCAGGGGTGAGAGCGGGTGTTTTTAAACTGATGTTTCAATGCAGCTGAAGTTCAAGCATCTGGATCTCCAAATTGTGATTTCTGCTCTATATTCAGATGCTAATACTACCATGAAAAGGTGTGCAATTTTTGAAATACACTTCTCAACGTTTTCCAAACTTCTGTATTTAGAAGGCCCTTGTCAATGAGGCCCTTGCCTTTGAATGAAAACCCTGTGCAGAGTTTGCTCAGTTTTCTCCTGCACATTTTCCCTATGCCAATATTCATCATGCAGGTTTTAGAAGTTGGCTTTTCAGTTGTGCTTTATTTTTTAGGAGAAGGGGAAGCAAGGTGAAAGTCACGGAATCAATTTATTCCCCAATTCATTCCCATTCATATGGAATACCTGGTAAAGATAGGGAGTAGCCAATACTTCTTTTCATCTCCAAAAACCTCCCTCAGATTTTTGCTGCATCCAAGAGAAAAACCATTTTTATCAGGGCCATTTCGAAACGTGGGTGCACGGAATGTTTCTGTAAAAGAAAAACATTCAGTATCTCTAAAGTGATAAGGAGTCAGGGAAGAAATATCAACAGACTGAAACTTGTCTATTGTGAAAACAGTGTAAGGCAAGCTGAGACAATCTCGATGTGCATTATGAAAAAAAAAGTGTCATCTCAAGTAACCAGAGAGCATTAAAAAAATCATAGGGTTAATGACAAAAATAGAAATGAAAGTAGGAAAGTTCACGTAAGCAGAACAGTCATCTTTCTCTCTTTACATTTAACAGACAGTCTGAGACAGAGCTAAGTACCATCAGCATGCCAAAGATACCACATCCCTTATTCATTGATGGCTATCACTCTCTCTGGCCCATGAAGCCTTCTTTGAGCAGAAGGCTTCCTCGTCTAGAAGCAATTTACCATTTACTGGACCTAAACCCATACAGGATAGTTTATTCCACTTCTACCATGGTCTGAAGTTGAATTAAGCGCATCCCGTGGTATCAGAGAAAGGTGAGATCTATTACATTAGAAACAGACACATCGCCAATGATAGTAAACCACCACCATTTTTCTAGTTAGTCTGGTTACACCCTTGGCCAAGAGCCGACCAGACTCATTGCTCTCCCCATACCAACAAGTTGTCTTTTTACAATCATGATCCAGAAAGCAAAAAAAGTACTGACTGTGCTGACAATTATGACCACTGACTTTTGGGCAAAGAACATGGTAAAATTTTCTTCAAAGCTAAAAGAGACTGTGAATATTCCTTAGCTGTAGATATGTCAAAAGGACTCAAACAACTCTCCTGTTAAGCAATCAAAAAAATTCCTTTTCTTCCACCAAAATATTCTAGCAAGCTGAAAATTGTTTCACTTTCAATTGACCCATTTATTTTTGAGGATAGAAATTTAACTCCCATTGAAAGGTGTAAGATATTGATGTACTCAGTTGTGGAAATACCCACCACTCCCTGTTCCCCTTGACCCTGCAAAAAAAGCACTTTCAAAAATGCTGTAGCAAGAACTTTAGATATTTTAACTGAAGCATCTAACTTGTTTATGCTGGTCAATGCGCTTTAAAACATTTAGGTGTAGAAATTAGGGGAATCTCTTTTACTATTTAGGAAACACGCATCCATGTTTCCATTTCTAGTCCATTGCTAACTTCCTAATAGTGAGGCCCATTTTATTTCACAGGATTTAAGAATACTTTTTTTGGATCTAGTTCAAAATGTAGTATGTTTATATACAGCAGAGCCTTCATCTTGGTTGGGCCCACCCAGCTACTCAAAGCACTAGAAAAACAGGGTTATTGGCAAGTAGCAATTATGTTACATACTTACATTATATAAAAACACAACAAAAATGCACAGTGCCTCAGAGATCTCAAAAATACAAACAAGATATTAACATCATTAGGAATCCACATGCTTGGCTCCAGCAGAGGACCCCTACATATGCGACACTTTCCCATACGTTTCACCTTTAACTACTTTTACCAGATATACTTCTTACTGCGCAACATTTAAGAAATTCTGTTTGCATGTGATGGCACATCCTGTAGGCTTTACATTTTCATCAACTTGTTGGTTTTCTGAACAAGGAACAGTTCCATATTCCAATTAACTGACCTATGGTTGATCTGTTTTTGCCAACTAGCCAGCAGTGGTAGCTGAAGAGTGACAGTATGCTGATGAAGAACATGGCTGCCACAAAGAAAAGGAATAGTACGTGGAATTTTGCATGTGTATCTGGCAATTCATTCTGGGGAGAAAGAAAGAAATCAATACATTAACACTTTTTAACAACTATGCAGTATTACCACTAAACATTTTCTGCCACACGCATTCTGCTATAGGTCTTTCACCTCACTTTTCACAAAGTAAAAAAAGCACAAGCTTTCCTTCCATGTCACGTTAAACTGGTGTGTAACAGCATTTAAAGCTGATGGGTACCCCCTTCCATCTGAGTTTAGTAGCATGAGTGCGTACGTTCATCTGTTTGATAGCACTGTGTATAATTGAGGGTTAGTTTTTAAATGCACAGTAGGGGGCAAGAAAAAAATTCCTATACTAAAGAATGTTAACTGAGCAGCCCCAGCCAAAGAGACACAGGGAAAACATGTCCAAAATCACTTTATTTGAATGGAAAAAAAATACAACAAAAACTTCCAAACCCTTTCCTGGCAAGGTAATAATACTGAACCCACTTCTGAACCGGTGTAAGGAATGTAAAAGGGAAATGGCTTTCATACTGTGTGTTTCCAAGACTAAACAACTCCTAGACAAGACCTGGGACAGATCTTCAATTTTTGATGATCTCTAAGGTTCAAGCAACAACCAGCGTGTACCTAGCAAAACAAATTTGCCATGTCTGACCAGGCAGAAGTGATTCACCAGAAGATCTACACAAAACCCCAACAATTTCAGTACAACCACCATATAAAAAACAACTTCCCACCCAACTTCCCACCCATGGATAGTCAATTCCACCCCTAACCCCAACTATTTTTAGGCTTGCACTTTGAAGAGGCCATTGGGATTTGTAACAATACTATTCCAGTTCTATATCCTCAAAATCACAGTACTTTTAAGTAGTTGACCTTTAAACAGCACTATGAAAGCAGAGAGGCTATTTTCATGCAGCTGTTTAGTTAGCGTTATTGCCATTACTTTTTCCATTCACTCATTCAGTATGCCTGCTTATCTAAGGCTGATTGCTTTTTTTTAAGACTAAAACACATTTCAATTAAGATCAAGTGGACATAGGTACATCTATATCCCTGTACACTGCCTATATGCATAGGCAACAGATTACAAATTTCCTTCCTTCTGTGATGGTGTAAATAGCTACCATGAATGACTGGATTAGAAAAATTATAGTAGGAACAGTATTTAAATAATTACAGCAATATTGGATTTTACCTTTGGACAATTCTCTGCAGCTTTCCTGCGGCAAAGCTTTGCGCAAACAAAGACAATTTATTAAACACTAGTATTATGTTAAGAAGAAGCGTTTGAAAACAGCACAGGCTTTGTTAAAATAGAAATGGTTGGTGTGCACATGTGCTCTCGGACGTGCCGAGTTCCAACGCCCATCAGCAGCCTTAGCCCCCCGTTCTCCAAGAGAATGGAGGAGAGAGTACATAAGACCATACTACTAACTTCTAAGGCATGAAATTTTCTACCAAAGTACAGAAGTATTGCTATTCAGATTGCGGCTGGATCACTTTCAAGTGGTTCCTCAGCCTCAACAGCACGACTACACCTTTGCTAGTTGTTTCCATCACAAGTAAGGTTTATGTGAATATTCTGTATGATGAAACCATTCATAAAGGTCCAAAAAGCTCAGAATACTCCAGAGGTATAAAGCAATGGTTTATAAATTACAAAATCTTTCTGACTTCAGAACATATCTATTACCAGTAAACGTAGTTGCAGTCAAAACCTAAAAAAATAAATTGCCATTCGTTGCACAATTTTTTTTATTTAAAAAAAGAACCCATAACACATCAGTACAGTTTTCTTCTACACAACATCCTTTGATACTGAGATTTGTTTGTGGGATATATCTTTAGCGTAACACCTGAAATTGAACCAGTGCTTAAGAAAATAAAGCAAGAAACAGGAAAGCTTAGTTTAAATTAGCTTTTAAATTCTGAACTTTATACCTAAAGAGTGGTATTAGCCACCTTAGCTAAAATGCTAGCATTTAATGAATCTGTTGTAGGGCAAGATGTAGGGCTTTTAAGTTACATTAATCTGTGCAGAAAGCCTAGGGTGAGCCCAGGCTTTTACCTTGGAGTCAGGCAGATATATATAGCACTTCCAAAAATGCTGGCTACCATCAGATCATGCTAGAGTAAGCAAATTGATTGCAGAGTCCAGCCTTCTGAACTGCCACTTAAGTTCAGTTTTCTTATTTACTGCTTTTTTTTTTTCTTTGGATGCAGTTTTGCTTGGACAATTTGTGCAACAGTCCCTCTTCTCCCTGCTGTAGGGATGTGTTGTGTTTTGTGATCCCTTGAAACCAATGCTAGCAAAATACATCCTCAAATTGCTGCTTATTCCTAAGCTTCATGTTAAAGCTATGATGACTTTTCCTACCTCAGAACACCCTGCAGTGTTTCCCAGTTTCCTAATTAATTTTTGTAACTTCTGTAAGTCTCTTGGAATTGCATATTTAAACAAAATAGTTTTCTACAAAGAATTCTCAGGCCAGTCGATTTTGAAGCTCAAAAAGCAGTAGCAGCTTGGTCTTTGTGTTTTCTGTGGGCCAGAAAATGTAAGTTTCAGTTGCATCTTCTTGAAACATAACTCTATAACCCGGAGAAGGATTTTTTTGAATTATGCACAATGAATCTCCATGATCTCCAGGGAGCATTTACCTCTTCTGACTACCCAGTTTCAGCCACTGGTTTTAAGTTGTTGAATGACAGTTGCACAACTGAAACATCTTTCAAAAAAGGTCAGTTCCTTCCCGGAGAGAAGCATGCAGGCCTTGAGTACGTACAACAGGTTTATTCACAGTTGTGTTTGAGCAGCAGTCCACATGCCACAGCATGTGAAAAGAGAGTGAAGCTTCAGAGAGGAGTTATTTAAAATCATTATGCTCAGCAGCAGCAGCACAGCAGAGACTTGCAGGTGAAAGCGCTGCAGAGCTTACGAAGAGAAGCAATTTGCACAATAAAGTTTAATAACAGACTGAAGCCAGTCACTATTCTAAAGAGTTCCCTGCAAACTCCTTCACAACCACAGAGTTGTTTGAGCATATATCAGGTCACAAAAACCACAACAAAAAAAGTGATGTCAGAGCTTGACTCATTAGTCATCTTTTAGTAGCCAGGTCCAGCTTAAATCCAGAAAAAAAATCAGAAGATGTGGTGTATGTCCTTATGCGTATATGCAAGAGGAATAAGTTCTAACTAAGGATCTGGCATTGTTCTTTTTTTTGGTGGATTTTTTTAATTGTTGTTGTTAATACAACCAGTTTTGGAGAAGCACATGCCATCTACCCGCAACACATATCACATCCTTGAATTAGCTATGCTCAGGATTGCCAAAATAATCTGGAAGACAACAAAAGACTGTGAAAACAGCTGGAAAGTATACAGGTTTCAAGGGGGAGGGAGTGCAGCAAGAATGAGAGCACCACCATGCACTATGTAAACAAGGCATCAAGGACTGGGTGTTCAGCCAGTGCTGGTGTTTGTGTCAAATACATTTGGTTAAACTGAGGTTTTATCTGCTCATCTTTAACAACTTCCTAGGTACAAACAAATTTTCATGAGTATAAGGAAAGTAGTTAGGAGTATAAAGAACGGAGTCATTCATGTTTCCTTGATCTACAAAACAGATTTTAACATCTGCATCAGTGTGTGAGATGGTGGTAAACATTTATAGTCACTGTGGCTGTTCCACCAGCGTAGGAACAACATCAAGATCTTTCTTCAGCAGTTCTGCATAAAGCATGAAAGATGCTATGTAGAAGTCTTGCATGTACAAGTGGGAAACACAAAGACCTTCTTCAACAGAAGAGGTAGGTAGGTGAGCGTGCCTCACAAGTATCTGCGCATGTGTGTTGTGTCTCTATGCAAGTATTATCAACAGTGCAAAACAATGGATTGCTAAAATTTGTGAAGTTAGCACATACACCTTTACCACCTCGTTCCTACAAGTTCTGAAGTGACCAAGGCTACACTCCCCAAGAAGCAGTTCATCTTGCATCCCAACACTGGATATATACAGTAGATGGCTGCACACTTTCTCCGAAAAAACATCTATGAGGAAGCAAAAAAAGAAACTCTACCTTCTGAAGGAAGAAGCAGTTCATCTTGCATCCCAACACTGGATATATACAGTAGATGGCTGCACACTTTCTCCGAAAAACATCTATGAGGCAGCAAAAAAAGAAACTCTACTTTCTGAAGGTATGCTATAACATTTCTGATAGTCAAGCTTTGGGGTGTGCAGGGGAACAACCTCTAGAGAGCCTCAACAGAAAGCATCAAAACAGTACTCTGATGTTACAGCAGACAAAGCTGAGCATTAGCAATATACTGAAACAGTCTACAGACAGCGCGTGGCAGCCGTACTCTGCTCTGGACACAGATGTAGAGAGGAGCTTCTAGGACTCTTCTGCAGTCAACAGCACTTGCCTAAAAGCTTACATACTACAGACATACTAAAGTTTGCAAGTCTACATTATTATGGTGCTGCCACCTCTTTCTGGAAGTCTACTTTAATCAGGCTACTATAAGATCAAAGGAATTTTAGCTTTCTGGAATAAGTGATTTAACATGAGTAAAGTGAGTCAGAGACCAACTCTAATGATAAGATCATGGCATCACCAGATTCTGTCTTGGAAATAACCGGAAATAAAAGCAGCAAGTGCAAGCACGGAACTACACTGTCTATTGTCACATTTCACAAGTAGCCCATTCTTGCAGGAAGGATTTTAAATAACTAAATAATTAAAAAAAATTATCCCTCAAGTTTACTTCCTCTGCTCAAGGGTCCACTTCAATATTGTGTCCGATGGGCTTTGGAAGAGGCTTGCTGCAGATGTTGGTATTAAATGTTCATTGTGGTCAGATGTCCTGCAGACTTTTGTTGCACCAACACTTATGAAATGAGGTGACAAAGCAAATTCATTTTCTTTGTTCAAGCACTGACTGGTAAATATGTAAGAGCGCATCTACCGTTTCATTAGAAATTGCATACAAAGCACTGGAAAGCAGCCAGGCAGATGTTTGGGAGTGGCACATTCACAAATTAAAAATTTAACTATTTACAGTCAAGCAAGACTGAACAGCTCAATCAGACCATTTCATTTGAAATATCCGTCAAGCCACAGCTATGACTGAAATACGTTTACGGCTTTCATCTCACACCATACTGACAGCTCAATTCCCACATAGTTCCTCGCTCTCCAGTGACAGGCCGCTATACAGAACTGATAGACTAAGAGGAACATAGTACTTTGGCAGATCAGACCCATAGGCTTCGATGAAGACAAACATACTTTTTGCACAATTTATCTTACCTGTCTAATGCCAACTGTCTCAAAGTACAGCTGACATGGCAACATCTTTTTGCTCCAATAAAGATTATTTCTACAGCTACAGATAATGACTGCTTTTGCCAGCTGACAGCAACTAGCATCTAAGAAATATGTGCTGTTATTTACTTATAAAGATGTGATGGAGAGTCTTCCACTTAGAGTGTAATAGAAACTGATTAAGGGAATTCTGATGCTAGCTCTTCTGCCTAGAGACAGGAAGACACAATACAAGGTTTTGGAGATGAAAGGGAACACCACTAGAAGACACTGTGTTCAGCTTGGAATGTGACTGGAACAAAACTGATAGAAGGAATATAACACTGATGTACAAGGATGCTTGCCCTTCACATAAATGTTATTACATCTAGTAAGATGGATGTATGCGTATTGATCATTTGACAACTGGTAATAGCTGCAAGAAAGATGTATATCATTAACACTGTACATATCTCAGCATTCTACCCGTATCAGATTGATAAAGGCCACTAGTATGAAGTTCAGACAGTTCCTGTGTAGGAACTCCAAAACAGAGCCTGGTCAGTTCCCAAGAAATTAATCTGCCTTATCTGGTAGCAGATTATCCACAACCAAGTCTAGAAAGATACAAAATTGTTCTTTATATTTCACATTTGTCAATATTTATATATATATGTAATTGTTTGATATAGCCCGTTCTTTCTATATCTACATAGCTATATCCAATAGTCTCAAGAAAACCTGAGCTGTGCCACTCGATTTTGATGGAGCAGAGAAATTGCAGTGTCCTCATTGGAACTTCTTCCCCCAATTACTCATCCTGGGCAGTGTAATACATTTAAATTTATTAACATTCGGAAGGTTCTCCTGCTTCAGTCACTTTGATTGCTGCTGTTAACAGTAATGAATTATGGAAGAGTAAACAGCGAGTGACAACATGCTGATGCAGCCTCCAATAAAACATGCAAGATTAAACAAATGAACAACAACAAAAAAAAGCCTTAAAACTTACTGTCCAAAACTTTATGAAGTACTGCAAGACTGTAGCGGCAACAAACAGACAGTACAGTAAGGAATACATTAAAAACAGGAGGAAGAATTTGTAGTTAGAAAATCCCACACAATTATTCACCCTAGAAGGAGGGGAAAGAGAAAGAGGTTACTATGATATACAAAAAATAAAATAAAACAAAACCCAATACATTCAGCTTTTGCAGAGCATAATGTGTATGATGTCAGTGGTATGCCCAAAACAGTCTGGCACTGGTGTTTCAGAAGCATTTTAAGCCACCATTTTGAGTGAAGTCTCATTCCTCAGACCAAATGATCTGGGCCCCTCACATAACTTCTGCCCCCCACAAAGTTCTACAGGACAGGACATGAGCTGGCAAAGCGTATGATACATACAGTCTGTATAGGAAGCATCTCACACACTATGAACTAATTGCAGTCATCACAGCAGATAATACGAGCCTCTCCATCAATTTCAGTGGATGTTGCTTTGGTTACAAAACCACCTTCAAGTCAACTACTGATAACAGTATTTTTATAGTGACAACAGATAGTATTTTTACTGACTACCAGTGAATGCAAACTGCAGAAGAGTAACCGTCTGATTGGTCTTATCATCATCTAGAATCCAGAACTGATTTTCACAGCATGGTGGGTATCTCCTCTCCTGGTAACAATACCAAACTAAACAAAAGAAAGAAATGCCATTTCTCATAGGTCTCGTTAATGACAGGGTTTCTCTCTATAAGGAGAAACTGCGTGATTTGGGCTACTGGGCCTACAACTGTATGTTGCAACACACATTAGGAGCAAGATTTATTTTCACATATTAAAGTCTCCAGAAGTTCTGTGAAAATCAAGGTTTACTTCAAAGTTGCATTCTTGAATTCTAATTCATTCTAATTCATCATGTAGGATCTAGTTCATCATCATTATACTGATCTTTTAGTTTTGTTCTTATAAACTTACCATGGACAGTGGTGGTCCATTTTTAGTACGCATCTGAAAGAGATAATTTCTAGTAAGTTAAAGCAAAAATACATTTTCTTGCTAAGACATACACTATTAGCTTCTACAAGTTTGAGGGTTGGTTTTTTATTTTATTTTTTCTAGGAGCATTTTGCCCCACTGCATCTTTTTAAGTCCTTTTCAATCATGACAATTCTCTGTATAACAGCCATCCTTTCACCCAAAAGGACCAAGAGAGTTATGAAAACAGTCTCTTAAACTAACAGGGGGAGCATTACTGAGCAACACGATGTAATAGTTCATTAAGCCACGCTAGTTTTATGTGCGCATTGAAAGAAAACGAATCCAAAGGACCCTTCAGAGTTGCGTGGACACGGTATGTTAGCCTGGCGTTCACTTCAACTAAGACTACCTTAGGGCTATTTTTGCTACCTTTTTTTGTTTGCTCCTTGCTTGTTTTTTTAAAGCTAATTGAGGAAAAGAGCAGCACAGTGGGTAATTTGAATAGACCACATGCCATTTTCATCCAGTTTTAATATAAAAACAGATAGCAGCCATTTCAGACACACACTCACTGTATTTGCTAATAAATTTGATTTTAGCCAAAAGATGTGTGTTAAGATTCTTCAGTTAACTAGATTTTCTCAAGCTCAGCCTACTGAAGTCTCATGCAGCCTCAGTGCCTTTACAGATTTTTCTGATGATTCAGAATGAGGCTAGAAAATAGCAGTGATGTCTTTGAAATGGTTAAGGCATGTAATTGCATTGTCAATCTTGGAGATGAAGATTTTCAGCATTATTGGTAGCACTCATCTGTTTCAAGGCTGCAAAAGCAAGATACAATAAAAGAGCTCTATAATAAGCATTTGCTGGTGCTGGTATCTCAGACCTGCTTTTCCTTACTTTCAATCGCTGATTTTTTTAGTTTTTTTTTTAATATAAGCTCTGTTTTACAAAGCTACAAGCAGGTTTCCTAAAAAGTTCTGCAACTTTGGACAATGGGGCTGCAATAATAATATTGCACCAACAGGAGGAACTTTGCTCTCTCATGAAATCGAGGTACTGAGGGTCTGAGAACAAATAGTAAAACCTGCTGTAATGCAAGGGCTGACACACCGAAGACATGAACACGCTAAAGCAATGATTGCAGGAGAGAGAAAATCCATCATTTCAGATTCAGTAACTTACATGTCGCATGCAGAACAGTGGTGGCAGCGGTCAGGTTTGATTAGCTGGCATCGATCACAGTATCTGATTGCTGCATTCAAGTGGCAAGGGTCAAGTCATTAGAACTCATTGAATTTTACAAAGGTTTTCCCCCTTAACATGAACTGAGTCTTAAAGAGCTTCCCGCCCTCCCCTGCCACACTTGTTCTCACAGACCTTCATGTGCCTACTTTCAGATGATATGTAGTTTTGAGTTTTTAAGCAATGTAACATGTGAAAGTATTTAAAACACTTTCATCTATTACTACTGTACTGAGTCCATTTCCATTTACTCTTTGTCTCCACAGTCTTCCCATCCTTCATCCCCTATCGCTTGCTTTCTTTCACCTCTAGGCAGGGTACTCAGGTATCCCATTGTGAAAATACATTCTTTCAGCAAGCCAACTTGCTGCATTAGCTTTCTCCATCCTCTCCAGCAAATAGTGATCTAGCAGATAGCTTAATAAATTAGCTCTTCCTCATCTTTCCTGGATATTTTTATACAAGCCTTCAGGCTCTTCTTAATGGAAATAAGACACCGGCACAGGCAGTTTGAAAGGAGGAGGAAAGCCAACACCTACAGCTAAGCAGAACTGCTAAGAGCTGGCAAGAGTTTCCCAGACCACTCCAGGAACTTAAGACTGGGATTCCCTTAAAGGAAGGCTTGTATTCAAAAAAGCCAGGTGTGCTTAGATTTTGTTTGGAAAGTCACAGTAAACTTTGGTAACAGTTATTCTGTATAGTTTTATGTTTTTGGAAAACTCAACAGTGTTCTTAGTTTCAGGAAAGAGAAACAGCTATATATACATATAACAGCTAGATTTTTAAAGAATATACATATGTATAAGACAGCAGTTTCACAGATTATTCATATTTAAGTTGGAATAAAAATGCCTGTATGTATTAAAGGCAAATACAGAAATAGCCCATAACTAGCTTTGTACTGAATTACAGATGGGAATGAAACAACTTTTATTCGTTCTTAAATTCTAGCCTTAAGTATGATGTTTCTCTTTTCTGATACAGCTCAGGAAAAACAACTTTAAAGGGGCATATAAATGATCATAAAATTGAGTAAAAAGTTTAATTTTCTCTATTTCAAGCTGCATTAGCTATATTTCTTTGCTGTGTTTATTTTTATAGCCACAATTAGAGATAAATGTTGTCATTCATCTGCTTGCTAGAAAAGGATTTTTTTTTTTTTAATTCCAAATATTGGCTACATGTTGAGATCCCCAGACAAAGGACTCCAGTTTCTCTTGGGAGAAAAAAAAGCAACAAACCAGCCCAAACATACAACAAAACAAGGTCATGGCCTTTGCAATATGTGCTTAATAGATTGTTCGTTCAGTCAATCAAATGAATTTCACTGAATTAAACTAGCAGCTTCAGGAGCACAGAATTATCTTTATATCTCACCTCTCGATGCTGTTGTCGTATAGATAGGCAAGTCTTTAGCAGCTTTTCTCAAAATCTCCTGCTGGGATTCTGGTCTCTCTTCTTTTTCATACTGTTCTTTATCAGCTTTTGACAAGCAGAACTGGGAGGGAGAAAATGGAACGAAGGGAAGAGATTAATTATTACTTTGTGTTTTAGTCAAGCTCCAAGACCCTAAGTATCTTAATCCTGTATCTTCGGATAGTCTCCACTCATTGACCCAAAAAACCTCACATAATGAAAAAAGAACACTACAGGAATTACAGGAGATCCTTGAAACTTCATGATGGTCCTGGGCATATTTTAAAGAAAATAATCCTTACCTCTGTTCCATTATCTATGGCATTTTCCCTTCAACACAAAGGAAGCCAGAGGCTCAGGGGAGTTTTAAGAAGGCACAACCTTTCCTTTAAATTTCTGGTAAGTGTAAATTTAAGTGATCTGTGAACAAGAGGAAGGTGCAACAGTCCTTTGCTACTACAAGGCACTAAAAGTTCTCTTATCCCATTTCCTCTCTCTGACTTAGGGAGAGGTACAAACCAGAGGGGGAAGAAAAAGGGGGAGGGTGGTGGGGCAGCTTCATGGCTTCAGCACAGAAGTTGAAAGAGTTTAACCAGAATTTTTACTTGGGAGTAGTCAGCACCAGTCTCAAAATCCATGAGCTGTATCAAAAGCAACTTCAGCAAAGCCTGTGTACAGTTTCAGAGAGAGTTACAATTCTGAGTAAAGCATGAAGAGCATTCCTGTTGAAGCCTCAGTGAAATTTAAAGCTTTGCCAGAAGAACCTGAAGAGCCTTTACTCAGTTGTGAAACAGTTGGTATCCACTGAAATTATGAGCTTTACCATTAAGCCCCACAAAACTCAGTGTGCTGACAAGCCCCTGCAGAGTAGGGGCTGAACTCACCATTTCCTTCGGTATTTTTCTGTTCTGAAGCACTTTTAGCATGGACTACAAGAGCCCTTTTTATGAGCACACATAGATAAAGTATTCATGGTAGTGAGTGGAAAATGCTGTGTGTGCAGCTGGAACAAAAATTGGCTTAGTGTGGTTTAATATGACCATATTTTCCTACCAAGAACATGTATATGATTAGTTCACACGGATTTTCCTCTCATCCTGTACTTTTTCATCTTCTGGATTACAGTCAGTTGGCAAGCAACAATGAAGACTCCACTTACAGAAAGGAGGAAGCACTAAGACATTGCTGCAATTTCTTGGTGTTATTTCCTAACCCAGAATGCAAATAAGTTACCTCATATCTCACAGAATCTAGTTAAGTCTCCTCTTATGTATAGCATCTTCCCAGCTATTGAGCCTTCTCACTATAAGAGGGTGAAATGCGAAACATAATTCCTTTCTAAATAATCAGAAACTATGATCAATCTATGCAAAGGGTGAAATTAAAGTTTAACATCTCAGTCATCACCAAGAGTTTGACCTCATTTTTTAATATCCGTCTAAGCTTGATATTTACTCAAATATGAAAACCAGAGAGAGTCACATCAAAAGTTTAAGATGGATATGAAGCATCATGCCAGCAAACAGCAGTGCAATATGCCTTCCTCCCTATTGCCCTTGTAAGTCTGCTAGGTGACCAAACGTCTGTCTCCGTGACCTGCAATCAACCAGAATTTGACATGAAATACTATGTCTAGATGACATTTCTATGGCAAATCATTAATGCACAAAAAAGGAACTAAATCACAAGATTTAAAACTTTAATTTGTCCAAGTAACATCCTAATATTACTCCAAAAATCCTGGATAGGATTTTGGTTTTCTGAATAGCTACATTTCTGTTCTAATTTCAGAAATTAAGAGGGCTGTGAAACCACAGTCTCTTTGGACAATGGCAGGATACGTTCAAAGACATCAAAAGTTGTCTGTTACCACACAGCTAACAGAATTTCCAATGAGGTTCCAGCAGTTCTTATTGAAAACAGAAAGAGTCCCTTTGTTTCCTTCCTCTTTCTGGATCCTGTATAATGTTGATTGTTCTTTCTTATGACAAATGTACAGGGATTACACTAAGACAACAGCAGCTGCAGAATCTTTTTTTAGTTCAATAGTAAGATCACAGGATGCTATTTGTTTTGCAAGAATGGCTAATTTGAATGACTAAGCATATATACATTTACACTCTCATACAATGGGGAGATTCTGAAGTTAGGTTTTGTTTTTAAGTAAGTCCAGCATAAATTACTCACGGGTACATGAACAGAAGGGACTTGCTCAGAGAGAGAAAAAGTGGTGGTGCGTTTTTTTGTTTGGGTTTTGTCTTTTTTTTGTGTGTGCATGTTTTCGTTTGTTGTTGTGTTGTGTTTTGTTTGGTTGTTTTTTTAAATATCTTTTTTTCTTTTTAAAGCTAGCTGTAGAAGCAAATTATATTAAATCTGATCTACCCTCACACTTGATACAGGAAATATTCATTACACACCATATGCCCAAACCATCCCTTTCACTCACTGAATATGAAAAGCTTGCTACATTACTGTAACTACAGGATAAGTACTGTCAGAAGTTTTCTATCATTGAAGAACCCAAGCAGACAGTAAAAGTTACTAGGCATTAGCATTATGAAAAGCTCTAGTTCGTATAGCTTTTCAAAACTTGGAATAACAAGGTTCCAACCACATTTTAATTAGCTAACCTGCTTAAACTTTGTAATTTTCCTGCAGAACCATCCCACATAAAGCTGAAACAAATCACCCTGAAGACAAGTCCTTTTGAATGTTTAGGTTTAACAATTCAGTACTACTCTTTTTTGCTTAGCTAAACAGCAGGATAGTCTTTAGCTTTTTTTACTTTATATTCTGTAGCTTTCTAAGATACAGATCTCTAAGCCATAATTAAGCACTGCAGAGCAGTGCTTGCTTTTCCTTAGAAGCATGGTTTTAACTCTTTTCAAAAATGTTTAAGGTTGACATTAGCACTGAAAGTCGGTCTTGCCAAAAATAGAATAAAAATTCAACCCCCCATAAAGCAACCAAACCCTCAAACAGTTTAGTCAATTTAAAAGCTTTTTAAAACCAAGGAAGGGAAGTACTTTAAATATGGTGCCAGTATTTAATCCTTACATACGCACACCTTTGAGAAAATAGAAAACAAGGTAATCCATCTCAAGCTTATTGCAATTAATATTGTTCTTTTTCAAAACAAAACTTGTTACAATCATCATGCATTCTTTTGCCATTCTATAAAGCTCCTTTATGTATTTACTTCTTAACTGTCACTAAACCTTAACCCTTGACTTAGTAAAATTCAACGTCCTCCAGGTTATGACTATACATTGCATTACTACTTTTTCTTACCCAAAGAAAGATCAAAACTGCCTAAAATGGAAATATAAAAAAAGTTGTCACTGTATTTGATTTATTGGTTTTAAAAATTCCAGGTTTCAAACAAGCTACTTCAGAGCAAAGCACTGTACATAACTGACAAACTTGCGATGAATTAAACACACATTTCATTTAAGGAAGTGTCATGACACAAAGTATACAGTATTTTAAGAGTAATTTGATAATTTTCATTTATGATACACTGTCATGCTGTTCTATTTTAGATAATGAGAAGCAAAAGGTGAATCATGCAGTACTGCAAACAAGTTTCATCACTGAAAACAGTTCAGCTATTTATAAAAAAAGGCATTGACATTTTTCTAACGTCATATTTACCTCATTAGAGGGGGATGCAGGACATGTGAAAATTGTCTTCCAATAGGACCACACAAACATGACAAATGACAGATGAAAAACCACAAGGTAGACAACTGCAATAAAATATAAATAATAGTTCAGTTAATATAGCCAAAAAGAACAAGAAATAAAATCCCTGATCTTTGATGAGGGCTAAACCACTACACTAAGCATCACCCGATAAAATTAAGCTGTATTAAACCCTCTTCCCTGGGTAGACTTAGCACTCTGGGAGTGCTCTTAAAAAAAAAAAAAAAAAGAACAAGAAAAAAAAATCACCAAATGGTTGCTATTCCTCAAGGAAATAATAAGCTTTTATGTATTAATTCAAATCAGACTTTAAAGGGAAAAAGCCAAACCGAAAACCCCCACAACAAACCAGAACTGAACTTTACCTGTGGCATGTGACTAACCTTTTCGGATAAAGATGATGCTATTTCATAACTGACCCACAAAATTTCTACTTCCAATAGAAACAGCACAGTATTGTGCCATTGTTGAAGGTAAACGTCATCAATGACAGTAAAAATTCTAAACCAAGGGTTTGCAGAGGACTGCATTCCAAGATGAGAGCTGTCTGTGAGTTAAAAATTGGGTATCTTCTTTCAAATCATCAGAGGAATATAATCTGGAAGAGTCCTGCTGTTATAGTCAGTGTCAACAAAATGCAAGTGGCTTTAGTAGGGAGCTCAATCAATTTACGAATGGGTCGATGTGATATGGTTGCCTTGAAGGCCAGAGACCCAGACTTTATGGCCCAGGAAGCTTCTTCCAATCTTGTTTCCTCTTATAGTTTCTTTTACCACTTGTGAACAGGAAACAGATCAGTTGTGCCAGAACAGCAAACCATAGAAAATAAGTTATACTAAATATTTACAAGATCTTCACTTATATTATCTTCAGCTACAGGAAGAAGGAAACTTGACCTACTTTCCTGTGCACATAAAGAGAGTTCTTTTGAGAAGCCATATGATATACTTCACGGATGGCAGAACAGGCTTGAAACTTTGGGAACTTCCAACAGCTCAGAAAATGCATGTGCATAGTCACAGAAGACATGGTCTTAATTTATCATCTGTCAGGATTTTCATTGCTTGTTGCAGTAACAAACCCAAACAAACCATATCTGAGCTTTCTTCAGAGAATTATGCCTTTTTACCTTAGCCTCTGACTCCTCCAACTTCACAGACAGATTTGGCAAATTTTCAGTTGTGGAGCTGACCAAAAATGCAAGAAGGCAAAACCTTTTTCTAAAGCCATCCTAAAATTGTAATCCGGATAAGAAAGAACTCGTGTATCACTGTACTAGGCACTGCATAATTAAAAATTGTCTTTTATTAAAAAGATACTATACATATTCAAACATAATGTGGTTAAGCAATTCAACCATGAGAAAACTGTTTGGAAAAGAGGAGAAATGGACACAAAATTATAGTGGAATCAGCTGCACAGATCAGAAGTTTGGGGGAGAAGAGGGCGAGAGGAGTTGAACAGAAGGAAAGAGGAAATGCGATACAGGGAAGGCCAAGGCACAGCAAAACTAACTTACACAGTAAGCAGTTCTATTCTGTCCATAAAAATCACCCCTAGAATTCAAATTCTTTTGAAGGATTATTTTTAGGGCACACACAATACTTCAAACAGCAGAACCTCAAAGTCTTGTCACAGGCTGTAAATGCCCCAACAACACACAGAATAACAGACTACAAGGCTGGCTGCAGCAAGGGTACATATCTGTGTTTGCGCTACCAGTATTTACTAGAAAAAAGGCAGCTGGTTAAAGTTCTCTTGCACTCTTGCAATAACCAAGATCTTGCAATCTGTCAGCATTAACAGGCAAGAGTCTGTCCTTAGCAGCCAAACTCAGGGTAACTCAAGGAAGAGCAAGGCTTTCCCGGCTGTTCCAGCGGGGGCACCACCCAATCTAGAGGAGAAAGAACCTGGAATCGGCAGTCCATACCGGCCCCACACTGAATAAATTCTTGCTTCTTTTCCCACTCTTGTGCTGCCATTCCTACTATGATTACAGGTATCTGTCCTGTCAGTGCTCCCCAAGAAATGAGAGGGAGGGAAGATACCATTTTTGACGGCTTTACTTCAGCAGTGCATCTACCCACTGTTTTGGGTAGCAATATCTCCTCTGCAGGCTACTCCCTGAAACATCTTGCATCAGTTTCCAGTACAAATATAAACCAGCCTCATTCCTACTCAGCTCATTTTCTTGTAATTACAAGCTAGATGGAAAATACATCAAAAAGCTCAAACCCCAATAAGTGCCAGTTTAGCCAGACTCAGAGTCATGAGGAAGTCCTGGCTAAGCTAAGGGAATGGTCACAGCCATGCTGTGACCAAGTCAAGTCACTTCTTTAAAGGCACTAGTGCATATTAGACCATAATTTATGCCCTCAGGAGAACAATGTCTTAAGACATGCTCTTGGCATCCCCCTGAAATATGCTAAGCCATCCTAAGATTTGCCCTTAACATCCTTTCTCTGAATCATCCTTAACACTACTTCCAAGACAGGGTCAGATTACAGAGAGGTAATAATATATAACAGAAGTATATTATATTGTTAAGAGAGATTCAGAGTTGACTTTATTCCCCCATCCTAATGGATGTAAATCTAGACAAGAATATGAAATTACAAAAAAAAAAAAAAAAAAGCCTTAATGGGGTGAAGAAATCACCACCAATTTAACCAAAAGTTGCAATTAAGTACTGGAGTAAAAAGATTTGCACATGTACACTGAAATATGGAGCAAAATATATTTGCTAAGATGCACATTATTGAGTTACATATCAATGTTACTGGTACTTCGGCCTTTTGACTCTTCTGATGTTATTTCCTGGCTATTGAGAGTCAGCTTATAAGAACTTTATAAAACTTATAATAGCTTTCATTTCAAATGAAAAAAAGACTTCACATCTCATTTTAAGATCAACCTCCGTGGTAAAGAAATTTATGCATGCAGGATGCCTGTGGCATGCTTTAAAATTGAAGGTGTAAAATGCGTGCACGTGACAGCTATTAAAAGCCTAACAGTCAGGTTCCAACGAGACTGTCAGTCTCATTAGTTCATCAAGCATTTTTCTTCTCTGGTAGATTTAAGAGCACCTAATTCAGTTGGACAGCCACCGCATTTGTATTAAAGCCAGAGATCTGACTATGCAACATCAACATCATTGTTCTGCCATACTTCCTTAATGGAGACATGGATCTTGCCTTTCTGGGAGAAACTAGAAAGTAATACTTATTCATATACAGGTCAACAGTAAAGCACAGCAGCAACCTGTAGAATTTTGTGAAGTCTAGGTGAAGCCCAGCTGTGCATTGTGATACAAAAATCCAGGGTAAGACACAGCTCCCATCTTGAACGTTTATTTTGGAGGTTTTTCCACTCTCACCTTTTCATTAGAAGATGAAAGAGGACAGATTCCATGAAAATTCCTTCCTTTCACAGTGTTTTGGATGTTCCCCAACAGGAAGAAAACCACTAGATTAGCTCCAGATTCTATGCTCTTTTGCAAAAATATTTAAGAGATGAGAGCCTCTTATCAGTGGTTTCACGCTCTGAAGACAACCCTCCATGTATACTCAAAATGCGATCTATGCTTAACCTACCACTCATGTTCCCCAATAAGCCGAAATGAACTCCCAAACAAATATCCCATCAATCATTTGTATTTCAATAAAATAAATAAATAAATATGTATTTTGAACTTCTGGAATCAAATCATCCTTTAGACTACTTTTTGTTCACAATTAAAAGAAGTGGCACAGCAAGAATGTTGGAACTGTTTTGGTCAGTTGGTATCTCTGTAAGTACTACCCACTGTGGCATATACTTGCCAAAGCCAATATGAAGACTTAAGTAAAGTTTGTCAAAACAAGGCCTCAACCACTTGACCTGGAAATTTAAAATTATAATATGCAGCCATCTTTGAGACAGTTGTGTTTTGCACAGCCCTAACCAGTCATAAAGAAAGGAGTTCTGAAGAATTTGGCAAGCTGTTTGGAAAATAGCAAGCAGTAGAACAACAATTCCTCCTCTTCCAGAAGTCTTCCAGGTCACAGGGTGTGTTCAGGAATAAAGAGAAAATGGATTTGTGGATCTGCTGCAGTTCCTTCTCTCTTCTCCCTTTTCTGTTCTTAGAAGGTACCCATTTAAAAATATTTGTAAACCTAAATCATAGTTGCATTACTCACAGGTCTTGTCATTATCCCAAGCTTGTGATACTAGAAGCTAAACAGACTCAATCTCACAATATTTACCTTGTTTCTTAGCACTAATCTACTCACTATACAGAGCTTACAAATAAAGCAATACATTTAAATTCTGTATCTCTTAAGACTTGTGTGTAACAAAACTATTCATATCTTCAAAAAACAAAAAAAATATTACCTTTTTCTGCAGCTGAAGGAATAGTAACTGGAAGAGAAAAAAAAAAAAGAGATATATGGTAAGTAAATCCATATTGAATCAGAAGTTTGGCTAGAAGTGAGATATATGAGATAGCTGACTTGTTCCAAAATGTACTTCAGGTGTTAAGTAGAGCCTCCCTACCCGCCTCTGGAGTAAAACAGGAGTTAGTATTCCTCCTGCTAGCCCTTGAGGCTCAGTGAGTCAGTGGAAGAGCTGAAGATATCCAGTTCCCTGCATTAACCAAGAGAGCACATTCCTTTTCACAGGCATTAATTAGTTCATAATTTATGCATGTTCCCCTTCAGATATGCTCCTAGCAAAGTCTTCTGAGGCATGTCAACAACTAAGCCAACAGGTATACCATCAGAAAGCAGAAAATGAAATCAAAAGAAGTTCTTACAGAAGTCCCTGTGAAACTGTTACAGGTAACCTACTTCCCTCTCATTTTTTTCCCACCACTCCTCTCTTCCTGTCACATGCTATTTTTGACTTTTCTCCCCTGACCTCAATTCCTCAGGCACAGTTAAAACCTCTCCACTTCCTTCTCTCCTATATCCTCATCTACTCTTATCCCAAAGCAAATTCTATTGTTCAAATCTACCTTGTATACTGCCTGCCTAGTAGTGCATCCTCCTGCCCTCAGGCTTTTCCAAAACCTTCATACTTCATTCATCAGTTCAGGTAAGATGCTGAACAGAGAAGTGCCGTACTTATTGGGTCACTTTGTTAGTACTGCTCCCCTTGACGGATCTCTTCCTTAGACACTGAATTTCTGAAATTCAATGAGGAAAGGATCTTCTCCCAACTCCATCTTATACAGCAAATTTAAGCTTCTGGTCATTAGCACGAGTACAAGGTTAACAGAGCACATCCTGCCTACTGCAGTTCACCTCACTCCAACCTGTTTCCTCTCTCTCTGCTCTGACATTTCTACAGCCATTACTCTGTGTGCCAGTTCAAAAGAGCTTTTTCCAGAAGCACGCTAGAGTCTTAAATCTGCAGGGCTTCAGTTTGCATTGCAGACTTCCTTCTGAAGGGTTACTTTGGTGACGGAGGTGGCATGTGTCTCACTTAACTGCAGATATCTATAGTAAAAGGGTCTGTAACTGTATTATGTAACTGTGTCTCTTTTTACAGTCAACAAGAGACGTAATGAGGTGATGTCTCAATGTATAGATGACCTGTTTGTGTTCAGATGTGGTTTTTTGGGTTTGTTTTTTCTTTCCCTCCTCCCTTAAAATATCCACTCAGCACCCCCTATCTGCCCGTGGAAGCCTCTAAGAAGTTAATGGAAAAGGTTCTGGTTCCTTCCACCTAAAGAAGGAAATTACCATTTAGAATAGAACAAGGTTGGCTTCAAACTAAAGGAGGTCAATCCTAAAGAATAGCTTAATTTCATATTAGTTATGCATACTTGCACATCCTCCTCCCGTGTTTCCGTCTGAAACAGGGACACAATCCACACAGCAAAACAGACCTGAAGCACATGATTACCTGCAAAGTATGTATGTAAATATAAGAACAGGTCCTGTTGTGTCATGATACAGTCTCAATACTACTCCAGTGCATGCTACTGAAGTCGCATTATTTTTAAAGCAAATCCTATCAGTGTTTTTGCTTGAAATTTTACTAATGTGTTATTTCTCCAGTTAAAACTTCTTCAACAGCACAAGAAGACAAAAATCATTAAAAAGGTGAAAATTAAAACAAGCTTGCTGAGTAGGGTTGTTTGCTCAACTTAAAAAAAAAATACTAGAAATACTTTAGATTAAGCTTTGTCTTTCGCTCCTCATATCTTAAGTAAACACCTTTGCACACAGCTGGACAAACATGTATTTCCCTAGACATGAAATATAAAAAAGTTCTTAATTATCCTCTAATGGGATGAGAGAACGTTGTTATCTGTAAAACTACAGGATTTTTTTTTTGTAAGTAATTCTGGTTAAAGCATTCCGTAATCTGTAGCCTCATTTCCGCTCTCAGTACAAAACAAAATTGTGAGCCAAATTTAATGTTTGAAAACTCAAAATAATGAAGTCTTGACATGCAGTAAAAAAAAAAAAAGCTTAAGATTACATCACCTGTGAGACTTCATCAAAAAGATCCCTAAGTAAACTTCATAAAAATTAATTAAAGCTTCACAGCAGCAGGAAGATAATTTTCTTTTTTGCATCTAGGTCCATTTGGTCAGACTGGAGTTATTAGACAGTGCTGAAAAATTTTACTTTGACCAACTCCTGCAGTTTGAGGTAAAAGCCAACACTGAAACACTTGTAATTTTCATCCTGTCTTACCATCCTCAAATGAAATACAAATAAAAGATGGCCAGTTCTATTCTGCCTGAGAAGTCTGTGCAAGTTACGTGTTTCTGTTTCTATCCCTTTCACTGTTGTTATTGTCAGGCAGATTAAATGAACAGCAATCCTACTACTTGTCCAAATTCACTCAGCAAATGGCAAATGAACAGTTTTACAGGCTCTTTATACTACAGAGTGAAGCCTTCCTTTAAACAAGTTAATATTTAATCTTTACATAAAACAGACCTGTAAGTATCTGCTAGGCTGGCAATGTAACAAGCAGCTTTATACTATCAAGAAATCAATTCTAGCTTTTGAACTCTGGTTCAGGAAAAACCCCCACAGAACAAGACATTACCAATTGTGGCCCATCATGCCTGGCCTGTAGTTTAAGTGACAAACTTAGCTTTCTATTGCTTTTCTCCTCTGCTGCCTCTAACTACTTAGATCCTGCCATCGGCATCTGCTCAATTAATACCACTTTCATTTTAAATATTTCTAAAACACGATTTCTTGTTTGGGGAAGTGGGATGGGGGAAAAAGCAGGATGCTTTTTTGCTTATTGATACTTTTTTGAACAAAATAAGCACTGCATATGATTTATATGTTAACCTCAGGATGAACAGCGCTATACACCAGATCAGATGCACAACTTAGTGCCTTCAGTTCTGCAGTCAACACAAACCTGTCCATATTTCAGAAACATAAGCATTGGAGAACACCTGTTCTTTTGAGGATTTTAAAATCTATCCCCCTATCAGTCTATTGCTCAGCTACTAAAAGAAAAATAAGAGCAAAAATATTCTTAGGACTGGCTTCTGTAAGGCTCTGATAACAAGTGAATGTCACAAAAACCTGTCTAGACATGGGCAGGGATAGGCTGATGATAAGGGAGTGTCGACCAAGAACGGAACCTGCAGAGGCAGGATAACATCTCGTGAGCCCACTCCTCTACTCCTGAAACATGCAAAGGCCATCTGTCTTCTGTGCACGTGTGCTTGTGAAAGATCATTCCTCACTTGGTCAGCTCCGAAGCAGGGGGACAGTGAGACCCCCAAGACCCCCATAACCCACCGATTCATATGTTGAACATTTCTGAGCACGTACTGTGCCTGCTCAGTGATGACAGACCCCCGCCTATGAGGCAGGCACGTTTGTTTATAAAACGGGGAAACAAGTTTTTGGCACACACCCGTGACCTAAGGACTACAACTATGAGCAGAGAACATCACTGGATCCAAGCGTGGTGATATCTTTTCTCTTTTTCTCTCTACCACTTTCATTGTCTCTAACTTCATTTTTGGCACATTAGGGTAACAGCGATACAAGTTTGGCTAAGCCATTATCTTTCATAGTTCTGCTAAGTTTTAAGTATTGTTGTAACTTTTGCCAAGCCTCTATCTTTTGTAGTTCTGCTGAGTTTTAAGTAAATTTGTGATTTGTTTAAACCTCTAGAGTAATTGTTGTTATTCCCGATTACCGCATAGAGAATTAAAAAGTTAACCTCACCCTAACCCACTGAGTGGGATGGGACAGCTTCTTAACATTAAGTTTCTGGTTTCTCGAAAAGACTTACAAAATTCTAGCAAGGTATTGCTAGGGAAGGATAAAAATATGACTAGGCAGTGAACTCTGCCATTTGTTTCATTGCAAAGAGCTCAGAAGGCAGCACTCGCATGCTCACAGAGTTTCCACGATGGCCTCATAATTTCAAAGGATTCAATGTCTCAGCGTTACAGCACCAAGCAAGTTGAACAAAGTGAACTAACCCTGTCTGAGTGCAGTTCAGAGCTTTACCCTGGCTACCTCACAGTTCCCAAAATCAGCCTGTGGTGGGTTGACCCAGGCTGGAGCCCAGGTGCCCACCAAAGCCGCCCTATCACTCTCTATACTCACCTGGACAGGGGAGAGAAAATATAACAAAAAGGCTTGTGGGTCGACATAAGGACAGGAAGAGATCACTCACCAATTACTGTCACGGGCAACACAGACTCAACTTAGAAAAAAATCATCTAATTTATTGCCTAACAAAACAGAGTGGAGTAATGAGAAATAAAACCAAATCTTAAAACACTTCCCCCCCACCCATCCCTTCTTCCCAGGCTCAACTTTACTCCCAATTTCTCTCCCTCCTCCCCTCCGAGTGGCACATGGGGACGGGGAATGGGGGTTGTGGTCAGTTCATCACACGTTGTCCCTGCCGCTCCTTCCTCCTCAGGAGGAGGTCTCCTCACACTCTTCCCCTGCTCCAGCATGGGGTCCCTTCTCAAGGGAGACAGTCCTCCACGGGATCACAAGTCCTGCCAGCAAACCTGCTCCAGCATGGGCTCCTCTCTCCGTGGGGCCACAGGTCCTACCAGGAGCCTGCTCCAGCGTGGGCTTCCCACAATGTCACAGCCTCCTTTAGGTGTCTCCACCTGCTCTGGCATAGGGTCCTCCATGGGCTGCAGGCGGAATCTCTGCTCCCCATCATCCTTCATGGGCTGCAGGGGGGACAGCCTGCCTCACCATGGTCTGCAGGGGAATTTCTGCTCCAGCGCCTGGAGCACCTCCTGCCCCTCCTTCTTTACCGACCTTGGTGTCTGCAAAGTTTCTCACATCTTCTAACTCTGGCTGCAAAAGTTGCCGCTGTGGTTTTTTTGGTTTGGTTTTTTTTCTTCTTAACTCTGTTTTCCCAGAGGTGCTACCACCATCGCTGATGGGCTCGGCCTTGGCCAGCAGTGGGTCCGTCTTGGAGCCATCTGGCATTTGCTCTGTAGGACATAGGGGAAGCTTCTAGCAGCTTCTT